TGCATTCCATGTCCCTGTGCCTGTCCAGATGAAACAGAGCAGTGCCAGCCTAATATTTATGTTTTCTTTTCATTTTCACCATCTTTCAAAGCTCCCACTTGTCTTTTCTTTATTTGTTGACTACAAGAACTACAAGGCTTCAACAGCAATACTTTGAGATGCCACAGCTATGCAACCCCAATTTTCCAACAGCAGAAAATTAAGTCAAATAAACCACACAAAGACACTGCATTTTTTTTTTCTATATGATTGCCTCTCACTTCTTTATGAAAGTAGACTGGTGTGAGATATGATATATTATTAAAACACAATCAATCAATATCCTTTATTTTGTCTGGAACAAAGCATTCAAAAATTTCAGCTATGTTTTGTCCAGCCCATAGCACAGTCTTTATGATCAATCAGTCACCAACAACATTACCAAGCCTGCACTTTCTCTCACTCTGCTGTATTTTACCTATCAGCAAGAAATATTGTGCTTTAGTATCTCTTGGCCTAGAGACTCCATGACAAAGTACAAAATATGACATTAAAGCTCAGGTAAAATTTTAATAAACACATTCTTACATATTTTGCTATTGGCACCATGCATGATCCTGTTCTTTCAGTATTACACTTGCATGTCTAGGGATATGAACAAAAACTTGAGAAATTATTTTAATTTTTACATAAAATAATTAGCAAGGATAATCAAAATTTTATGCATATAAGTGCTCATACGCATATATTCACTCATACTATATTTGGTAAGACCAGATCAAAATACCACAAATCATCATTATCTTCAGCCAAGATGCTTTACATATGTTGTTTGTTCTCTTTCCAAAGAACAGTAGTGCTAAATGTCACAGGAGCAAAACCAACTCCCACACAACTTCAGATGAACGCTGTAGCTCACTGAATTTCTTGTGAAGGCTGAAGGAAACAGCTCAGCAAGGTTTCCAATCTAACAACTGCATGAAGAAGGGGAAAAAAAACATCCCTTCAAGGAAAACTATCAGATGATGTTTTTCTAAACCTTGGAAATCCTCCTTCTGTATAAATTATGCTTTTATCACAGCATTATATCATGAGGAATTGCTTTCTGAGTTTTGTAGTATAAGAGTAGAAAATAAGAAGAGAATAATGAACTTGATAAACACTGATCTGTTTATCTACAACAGTAATTATGTTTTTAATTTTTTTTATTTTATTTTAACTAAATAATAATGAGGTAACCATTAAGATTAATCTACTTGCTAGTCTAGTGTTCATCATTTCAAGTTTCACATTTCTATCACCAAAGTAAGCATATTACTTTCTCTTCCTGCTATCCTAGTTTCTAGTGTGCCACAAGGCAGCAAATAAACACCTGGTGCTACTTTATGAGCTTTAATTATCTGATCCATTGTGATTTTAGGGGTTAATTTCTATGCTAAGACTTTAATCATAACAATTCTAAAGAGAACAAAAGTATTTTCTTAAACTCCACAAACATATGAATCATTAAACAAACATCTCTGAGTAAGGCACAACCCAGCAGGGCTGCTACACATCCACACTTCCTCCAATATTAACATTTTAATAGGTGATGACTGATCTTAACATTACAAATTCATATATACAGAGGCTACACAGCAGTAAGCAGCCTTCACTGCATGTAGTAAGTGAACAGGGTTTATCAAAGCAAATTCTCTCTTGATCCTTTTCTTGGGAAATTAAGTAGAGAAAAATTTTAATCAGTCTCAGTGGTGACACTCTCTCCAGAAAATATGACAAATCAAAACTAACCTAGTTGCCTCTTATACCAAACTTGAAGGAAAGAGTGGTAAAAGATATAGAGGTGGAATAAAATGAAGCTTTAAAAAACAGCAGAAAAAAAACCCCAAACCTACCACCCTCTTCCCAAAGACCACCAACAAAAACTCTATTAAAAAACCCCACCTTACATGATATGCTCATAAATTAAAAGAGCTTTAGAACAAACACCCTGAGCCACCTATCTAAGTGTGCTTTGTTAAGGTATAGAGGAAATGGGAAAAAGAAAATTGAATTCTGTGAACCAGTTCCAGAAAATACATCAGGGCACAATTTCATCCTGCCTACTCACCCCTCTCATGTCTATGACCCCCAGAAGACAGGCATTTGAAGACATGCTCAATTAATCTAATTAGCTGTATTTACATTTTGGTCCAGCCACCTACATCTGCTACAGCAGACACCCCACCATTCCCTCCTGAGAAATCCAGGAATTTGCTTCTTTTTAAGTTTGCTCTAACAGCCAGTAGCTTTTTGGCTGTTTGGCACAGGTGGCACCTAGCATGTCTTAAATACCATCTCCAAATCACTTTGTATTGTCTTGTAACAACTTTTGTCAACAAAATTCAGTACAAGTACTTACAGAATATTAGCAAGTCCAAAAGTCTTAGAAAACAGTAGGAACAAGGCCAAAAAAACCACCAGGAAAGAGTTTTTTTCTGCCTTAAGAAGGGGTTAGCAGGACAAAAAAGCTATGTGCAAACCATGATTAGAATTTCCATGAAGTAAGGACTGCAAAATTATTTGGGATCAAGGCTCGCAATATTTGCAAAACAAATGTAAAGAGAAGAAGATAACGTGGTGGCTACTTCTACTAAAAATCTCAATAGTGAAATCAAGAGGAAAGTACAGTTCTCATCCATAACTAGAAAAGCAAGACAAGCCTATGGTACCCCTGCAATACCATCATAAAAAACAACAGGATTCTAAACCCCCCACCTACACACAGACATTTTTCTTTTAATATAAATCACATAAGTCAAACTAGTGGCTCACCTGCATATCAATAGCAAAATTAAAATCTAACTTAATTTCTAACAGGCAAATCTTACTCTGGTTTAATCATACCAGTATAATAAAAATCACTGTGCTGTTTACTTTGGAACTTTTCCAGCTGTTGGCCAAATAATAACTTATTTGCTTTGAAGGTTTTCCTTAAAGCTATATGCCTGTTAAAAATTTTCCTTCTTCCATTCCCCAACTGTAGAGCTAGCAGCTGTAACAGCAGCTGGGCAGTTTAGCAACCATAAAAGACAAATGCCAATTTCTAGAGAAAGGCTTTCAAGTAAAACAAAATAGTGTCTGTAGCAAGTTTCTGCAGACTCTCCAACTAAAAGATTTTACTCTGTAACTTGGCACCAGCTGGAGAGCAGACTCTTATTCTGTACTTCTGCTGAACTCACCAGGCAGATTTCTGTTTCTGTCTCTCATTCAGTTTTGATAGGGAAAAGTAATTTTCCCTATCAAAAAAAAGTCCTGCCACGCTGTTTTATTAATTGTGTTGATTCATATAGTCTTTTTACCATCAAGACTTATTACAAGCAAGGCTTCAATATCAGACATTAACTAGAAACACATCTAGTATGTACTGTGTCACCAAGACTGAGCTCACTCTAAATTCTGCGTATCTTGTAAGAGATCACGCCATTTGAAATGGAATGATCCAACTACAATATGAAATCAAGCCTTCTTGTATCAAACCCTATCGCAGCAGTGGGTTTAGTTGTCAGAAAAAGGAAGGGGAAACAAAAAATCCTAAACCTGTTCATAATGATCCTTAGGAGTCCTTTTAGCTTTCTCAAGTCATTTACAATTTGGCATGTGTTAGAGGAGTCTAAAAATGTCTCTAAATACTTCACTGATCTAAATTTATTAGGATAGGAACATTTGTAACTTCTGTTGACTTTAATTGCAGTTGTGAGCATTAAGTTGCTCACAATATGCAGCCCACTTATTTTAGCATCTAAGTATAGGTTGTGTACCAGCCCAGTAGAATTGCTAATTGGAAACACTGCTCATAGTGCCAAAGTTGAAAATGAATGCTGAAAAGAATCAAACACTGCTTATTTCATTTGCTGTCTTTATCCTCCTCCTCTTCATCTCCACAACTCAAGCAGAGTTTTACAAAATGGTTCAGACTGTAAAGTAGGAGAGAAACCTACAAGGAAACCGCCTTCTGGAAAAAAAAGATAAAATAAGAGCATTATGAACAATACCAAACAAAATCAACCAACCTTCTTGGGAACAAAACAGACAGAGATGCCAGGGAATGCAAGGGAGAAATGTAGTCCTTAAAAAAAAAATAAACTTGAAGTACCATGCTACAGAGACTAACACACTCTGCAAATAAACACAGCAGTGACGGAAAAATATTTGAAAAAAAGTCAGGAGAGATTTTATGATTTGAACACAACCATGCCTGGTTCCTCTTTCAAAAAAAAGTCTAAGAATTTCAATGCAGAAACGCATTATGACCACAACTGATCACAGAATTCAAGGAATTACTTAAACAGGTTTTACCATAGGTAGAATAACTGATTGTGAAGGTATGAAAATGTAATACCCTGAAAGTTCACCCAGAGCACCCTCCTCTTTTTGCAAACATGCTGGCAAGGCACATGTTCTACTTCATGACACACACAGTAATGATTTGTTACAAGCTGTAATTGTTCCTGCACATGTACAAAAGAATATTGTGCTGTACCCCCAGGAAGATACCGTGTGCTAGAAAGGGCAAAATATACAGCTGAACACTGTAAGTCTTAATAGGAGCTGTAGGAAAAAGGATAAAGAAATTAATACTTACCATCTGTACATTACCAATACAAAAATGAATTCCCTTTGGCTGGAAAAGTATTCACAAATGCTAAATTCTCACCATATGCACTCTAATCATCTCAAAACCTTTTGATCATGCACTCCTAGCAGTAACAAAATTTTTGTGCATGCACGCCAATATACATAGGTTTATTTCTTTATAAAGTATACATATGTATAACTGAAGTTCCAGTATTTTCATCCCACACACCAATGGATCATCTCACACACCCCACTTTGGAGACCACTGCTGTAATAAACAGAAGAACCAGTGCCAGCAAAACAAACATCTGCCCCAGATATCTCCTATGAATATCCATGCCAAAATCCTTTTTGGGCTCCTAGCTGGCTAACTGCAGCTCATAGAAATGAAAAGTCAGTCTTACCAGTGGTGGTGGTGGAGGGGGCCCTCCAGAAGGTGGTGGTGGAGGGGGCCCTCCAGAAGGTGGTGGTGGTGGTGGAGGTGGCGGAGGAGGAGGTGGCGGCGGCGGCACAGGCATCCGCTTGGACTTCTAGCTTCACGCAGGTGTGAAAAATATAGCCAAAGTCTATGTCCTTGAGGAGAAGGAAGGGAGGAGAAGGAAAAGTGGAAGAATAAAAATTAAAACCAGAGAGGAATGTGTTTATACCCTGCAAGCTGAAGATCGGCCAAACATCTAGCTCTCAGCAGTGCTTCTCTTCAGTCTCAGCAGACTGAAGACATTTATACTGCATCGCTTCCGAAAGTACAGTACGGACAGCCTCATTACAGTTATGATGACAACATACATCTAAAGAGCAAGCTCATGGATCTGGACCAGTGCCATGAGTACCAAATGCACAGATGTTAGCCTATCCAACTATTACATCTTGCCTTAACCTAGCCCATAGCCCTGAAATGCAATTCTGCAGAGAACAAATCACAGTTGACCACATGTAGACACTCCTGCTGGGACAAAAACTCTGTTGACTTTAAGCCAGAGGACTGCTGCTCTAAGGAGAGAGCAAGGGACTGACTTAATGTTAAAGAAAATAAAGGAAAAAACTACCTCATGATTTAATAATAAATAAATAACTCTACAAATTAATGCTTCTATTACCAAATGATAGAATATGAAGGATCAGACATCTCAAGTGTTAAAGCCAAGTGTTTTTCCTGCCATTTTTAAAAGTTAATTTTCACAATTCTTTAGTAACACTGACAAAAAACACATATCTTCCAACAAAAGCTATATGCTTTTTAAAAAAAAAATCTTTTGCAGAATGACAGTGCATCACTCACTGATTTTCATACCTAACCCAGCCCTCAGCATGACTCAGTCATCATTAAAGTTAACAGTAAATCCTTATATTTAATTAGTAAAGTTGCAAATGAAAGTACTAGGCAATGCCAAAGAGAGCCCTCTGCAAGCCAAACTTGAAATCTTCTTTTGATAGTGAGACTTGGATAAATGCTCCAAACACATCTAGTTTTACGTCTTGTTCTACATTCATCATGTCATGATTATTTTCTGAGACTCTTCACAATGTCATATGAAACCATGTCAAAAGCCCTACAATAACACAAAATATGTTATATGCTTTGTATTTTCTTTTTGTAAGGCTTTATCTTAACAAGAAATTACACTGGTTTCTCACATTTACTCTTTATACATCTCTCTAGGTCATAATTTGTTTCCCTGACTCCTGAAAGGTCTTAAAAACATTTTTCACATTTTAATGTTTTACTAGAAACTGATGTTAAGTTGAAAAGACCACAACTCCCAGACCCTATTCCCCTTGCTTCTCCCTTTATTTTTAAAAGCAGGCAGTCCATGCTTTTCCAGAATCATCTGTGTAGGAAGGAGGCATGACAGTTAAATCAGTAAAAGTTCAGAAGAGAAAACAATATAGATATGAGGCAAGTTACAGTCCTGAGCGGAATATCTGTCTGTTTTGCTAGAGGATTAGATTGGAAGAGGCAGTGAAATTAAAATGTACATGCAGACTTGTTCACTTCCTACCCAGTGTACATGAACAATATCCCGATAATATCTGAGTATTTTTCTCTTTTTTTATCTTGTAAAATACCTAATGAGAGATCAGTCAAAAATTTAACACGCAGAGCCTCTGAAACACTCACTTTCTCCCTTGAGAGACTGCTGTGCAAAGGGCTGGCATATCAAAGCACCCTGATCTGTAACAGAATCGGTTACAATCACTTTAATAATCTCCTAATCAAGCTTTCCAAGAAAGCTGGCATCACAGCATCTCCACCATTTCAGCCTCATTGTTGCCCTATTCAAAAACCCATTACCAGAAGATGTCTCTTTTCCTCAATTAAGCCATTCAAAAACACGGACATAAGGAGAATGAGTCTTCCCAGCTAATAATATGTTTCGGGTTAGTATCTTCCTACCCTGCAATAAAGGCCTTTTGTCTTCATTAAGGTTTTAGAATGGGAAATATGCTCTTAGTCAAATTAGGAAAAAAATACAACCCACGCTCCTGTGGCAGACCACATGAATGGCAGCAGGAGGTAGAGCACATTGGAGGAAGCAGCAGTGGGAGAAAGGAAATGGGAATCAGCTCCTGCTGTTTAAAAGTCACAATCTGAAATGCCATCAGATGACTTTCCTAGCTGCCTCTCCACCAGTCCCTGCTCCAGCACCCATTCCTCCAAATGATGCAATCTAAATCCAAGGACTAGAAACTGTGTGACCATCTACAACCCAAAATTCAGTGCAGAGGAAAGGTTCACCATATATCCCATTCCCATAGACTCCTGTCCAGTGGGATCAAGGAAAAATGCATTCTGTGGGGTTATAACACACAGCCTTTGAATGAAATACTGGAGACACCGTATAGCTTTCCTCCCATGCTGTTTCAAACCCTCTACAAATGAACCATCTTTCAGAAAATCCTGCTGATGTGCCCTCTTTTGTCTCTCAACACAAATTAAGAGGCTCAATGTCCTGACCTTGTCCTGCTCTTGTGTACACACTAAACTCATGTTTTTATACCAGCACTATTACAGGGTAATGCCTACACAATGAAGAACCACTTTCCAGGTGGTTTTCTGTAGCTTTGGTCTCACTTTATTCAGGTGTTCAAGTGGGCTTTGAAAGGAGTGCTGCCATCTCACAAGTAGACAATGTATGCTGATAAAGGCAGGAATCTTCAAGCTAGCTTACAATAAAAAACATTTGCCTCTTAACATTTAGTCACAACTGTACAATGGACACTTTTTAATATGTAGGATTGGCTATGATAACCTCTTTTGTATTACTGCAGCAATATCACGTGGAATGCATTGAAAGAAAATTATGGAACCGGCTGCAACACTTTCAATATATCAACATACATTATGTGGAGTTCCTTGGTTAAAGGCTGTATTTCATTTGCCTCTCCCCTCATTATATTACATGTACATATACATATATATATATATATATAAATGGTCAGTAATTTCATACAACGGCTTCAGAACATGCCAAGTTAATGGATTTTCACATAATAATCTAAATAAATTCTGAATTAAAAACAAAAAAAGGAGTATCATATTGATCAGTTCTAGTGTCTGCTTAGAGACAAGCAATAAGGAAATGCTACAAAGTATCCTTAAGGCACATGTGCCCTTTCTCCACTCCTCTAAATATACATTCCTATAAATGGAATAGAGGGGTCTGAACTATCCCTGAGGGATGGAAATAAAAAGATATAGTTCAAAGGACTGGCAATAGGTGGAGGGGAGGAGTCTGTATGTTTAACCTCAGTTTCCTAAGGCAAGAAGGAATGTAAATCTCACCTTGATTTAAATATCACAGAACTGAATCAAGCCAAACAGTTGTAGAATTTATTGAAAAAAAAAAAAAAAAAAAGGATAAGAAAATACCAAACCCTGCCTTTTCTAGTCCACCTCCCTACCAAAGCAAGGTTGTACATTTTTTTTAGTGCTTTGTGAAGTCTAATTTTAGGTGTCCCAAATAATGTGGCTTTTATTATTTCCCTTGGGAAGCTCTTTCCCAGTAAAATAACTCTTTTAGTTCAGATTGCCTGACACGCAGCCTAATTTCCCTTCTCTTAGTTTTATCCCATTTGCACTCCACTGCAGATGACTCTACCTTGTTCCAAACAAAATAGTTTCTCCTACTGCTCAGCACCAGCTTTGTGGAATATAAGCACTGTAATTCAAAAGTACATTTGCAAGGACTTGTTATACTTTTTGAGTTGTTTCACTTCTCACAAGGCAGTGAATTTCTCATCAGTCAGAGAACATTATTGCTCTCCTCTGATCTCAAAACAGCTGGTCTTCTTTTGTTCTCTTGGTAAGGATAATTTTGAACCTGGTAATTTCAGGTGTCACAGATTGTTCTCTGAGTGTTCTCACTGCGTGTGCTTTAATAGCAGCTGGGTTTAAGAAGAGGACTGCAGTCATCAATGTCAGAATTCAAGCTCCAGATTTCTGAAGGCCCAAATAAAGTCTTCACCCAGACTTCAATTTGAAGTGTCAGACAAGACAGAGGAGGTGCAGGTCTTTCTTCTTCATGGATTGCTCTCTCAATTTTGTGCTAGATTTGCCTGTGGGAAACTCAAAACGTACACCTAAGCCTTTCTGTAGTTTTGGTCTCACTTTATCCAGTTACCAGACACACAAAAACTATGATCCAAGTGCTTCCAAAGTCTCCTCCTGAAGTGTCACTGCCACAGCCTCAGTGCAAGGCTCACACTAAAACAAAATCCTGCTGGGAGCAGAGAGCCAAACTGAGAAACTGGATTTTGGAAAGCAGCTCACGCATCTCCTGTCACACTAACATTCAGGAGAACCACCACAGGTGTGCATGCAAAAACTATTCCAAAATACCTTCACCCATCAAGGAAAGGGAAGGCATGAAACAGATGGACCTTCAATTTAGTACAATGTCTAGAAGGGGAAAAGACAGAGGGGGAAAAAAAAAATCACAATTATTTAAATGTGCATAATATGCATTTATAGACTAAAACAACTCTACACAGGGGTATTTTTTAAATGGCTAATGTCATTAGGTCTTTAGGTAGTATAGTCAATAACATGAAACAACACAGATGGAACTGAAAATCTGACCCCTATAATGAATTTGGAGAAAGGACTGCAAAATAACAGGTTCATTACTACTGGATTTGCAATCACTGCAGCTTCACACTCTGAAGTAGGTAATTCCACTCTGGGGAAATGTATAGGTTTTCTTCTTTCAGAGGAAGACTGGGGTAGATATTTCAAAGGTGTGCAGGAGAGCTTATCTACAATATTGGTCTCACTTTCTTGATTAAAAACTGAAGAAAAAAAGACCACAAACTGGTTTTATCTTTTAATCAACTTTTATATAATCAAATATGAGTTCCTGATTAACTGTACTGTTCTGAGTTATGGCTTTTAAGTCCTTATATTTCAACAGAAAAATCAAATAATTTCAAAATTACCTGTGAAAAAACAGCATCAATAAGCATCTGCTCAACTTTCATGATCTCAAAAGCAGACAATTAGCATAATTGTGTGCTCATTTTCTCCTGTGAAACATCACTGAAGAATGAGATCTCCACTAATATTTTAAGGACAG